CAGCTTGAACTGCGTGGAATGGAGCCTCCTGCCACCAGCGACCGAGGAGGTGGTTGCGCAGGCTCAGCGGCTGAAGGGCCGTTTCCAGGGGGATCCTTCTTTTGAGCATGAGAACAGTGAAGTGAATGCAGAAGATGCTGAAACGGTTGAAGGTGAAAAGGAGGTAAATACAGCAAAACACTTGCAAACACTACAGTTGTACACCTCACAGCGGACAGGTGGTGGTTGCCCCTCCTTGTTTGTCATAAGCAGCCAGTGCCTGTGCTTAGGCCGAATATATACAATTTCATCTTCACTGTCATAGGCAAGTCATAAGTGGCTTAACTGAGAGAGAGGAAACGATGGAGGGAGGGACAGTCAATTCTCTGGTGAATCTAGACTGTCTGCCCCTGCTTCTCTTCTTATGAGAAGGATGTCCAATTTGTGGCCCTCCTCTTAGTGTCATAGGTCTCCAAGCTGATGAGTCTGTTGTGATTTCTATCATCACCTTGAGTTTATTTTCAGAAATGACAATAAGGAAAGCCCTGTCTATTTCTCTTTAAAGCCCGTGATGAAGGAAGAGGCTCGCCTGGTAGCTACGATAGAACAGATAGACAGAGCAGTTGGTATCATCCCCCGGGGGGCATTTGTGAAGACTCCTTCTGGGTCTGTGCATGAAAACAGAAGCTTTGAAGGTAAATTCTTACTGTCTATCAGAATCAGCTGTAATTTGATCATAAAGGCTGTAAATTAAGATGACTTTGTCTAGCTGATGTTTTGATTTCAGGTTTATTTTTTCCCTTGGCTAAGATGAATAGGGAGGAGAGAATCCAATGCCACTATTGTTCAGGTGCATGATTCAACTCTGGAAGGTGGGAGAAGAGTCAGTAATGGCTCTGAGTCATTAAACCTGTAGCTTCATTTGTCCGTGTATAGTTTATGTCAGTGTTTATCAATTATAGATGCAGTGAATTCTCCATCGAGATATGGGATGTAACCAAATGGGCACAGAGAGTTGGTCTCTGCTCAGTGCCCGTTTCTTATCTAAGACTGCAGTTAGCATGGTTTGCAATGCACAGCATCAGAGAGTGCTGCCACCTGTTTCTGGCAAGTTTTTGGTCTTCTATGGATTCCACTAGAGAAAGATTGTAATTCTGTCCTATGCTGTGGACATTGCAGAACAAATGTGATATTTGATGGTATAATACATCTTAGCCTATCTCAATGTATTAATGGTCACCAATGGCTGTTTGCAGGTCTTTCTCTGATGGAGGCAAAAAAGTTAAGTTCCTATTTCCATTTTACTGAGCCTGTTAACCTGAAGAATAAAACCCTGCTGGAAAAGGCTGACCTGGACCCATCCACTGACTTTCTAGACTCTCTGGAGCATGATATCCCACCAGGTAAAGGTAGCAGAATCAACAGGTACAATGAGAGAGAAGGCAGTCCCAGTAGTCTGGGAAATGCCAAGACGACAAGGTAGGGGTTAATGTTGAGTTGATATGCTTAGGAGAAGAAGCTCCTGTGAAACTGTAAAGGAACTTTATGCTTTACTAAATATAGTACTTAACTCTCTGTTTAAGCAGTGCTAAATGTTTACAATGGTAAGATGTAAGCGTACCAAGGCTGTCACATCCTCACAACAAGTCTGACCACACAAGCAGTTACCCACTCTGTCTGAGTGCCATATTCCCTTCTGCCATGTAAAGCCTGAGGCAGCTGGTGTTCCTATGGGGAGAGAGAATTCCATCACTGATAGAGGAAATTTATGTGGTTTGAAGTATTTCACACCTCTTGTCCCACCCAGTATTGCTCTTTCTAAATGGTCTCTCATTAGCACTAAACTGGTATCTCTAAGAGGCTGAATTCAAAAGTTCCTTTGATGAACTGTGCTAGAAATGCTATAGTGTGGAATAATCCAAACTGTGAAAGGAGGAAGGATGTGCAGTGAACTTTGATTCACTTCTCTACTGTTCTGCTGGACAACGTTAAACATATCTTAAGGCTCTTCCAGGCATTCCTCTGACGGGATATTTCTTTAGAGATGGGAATGACTTATTTGTTTCTAACTGCTTTTTTCTGATTTGCTGCATTTTTTTTTTGATTGGGCCATGTATTTTCACATCCTGCTGCCTAGAAAGGCACACAATCAGGGACACAATCAGAGCTTAGATTTGCTATTTTATTTCTGTCCTGGAGTAGCAGGATAGGATAGTAGGCAACTTGGGCCAGACAGAATTGGCTGGAAGGGCAGTACTGTAAATAGCATTTCAGATTTTGTCATATATATATATATATATGTACGTATGTGTGTATACTATCTCCCAATCTTTCCTTTGGCAAAAGAGAACTGAGAATGAACCTAGTGAGCTCCTGCCTGAATTCTGGGCATTTTTGACTGTTCAGAGCATAAACAACTTCCCTTAAGTCTGCTGGAAATACAATACAATGGAGAGAGAACAGTCCTGGAGGTTCCTGGAGTGTGTGGAAGATAACTTCCTGACACAACTAGTGAGGGAGCCAACCAGGGAAGGTGCTCTCCTGGACCTGCTTGCGAACTGGGAAGAACTTGTAGGGGAAGTAAAGGTTGGAGGCTGTCTATGGCACAGTAATCATGACATGATTGAGTTTTCAATCCTTGGAGAAACAGGGAGAGGGGTTAGTAAAACTGCCACCTTAGACTTCAAGAGGGCAAACTTTGACCTGTTCAGGAGACTTGATTGACAAAGTCCTTGGGAGGCCATCCTGAATGATATAGGAGTCCAGGAAGGCTGGATATACTTCAGGAGGGAGCAAGCTGTCCCCATGTGCCAAAAAATGAGTCACTGGGGAAGGAGACCAGCCTGGCTAAATAGGGACCTTTGGCTGGACCTCAAGAACAAAAGGACCTTTGGAAGAGGCGGGGGAGGTCTCTCATAAAAACTATAAAGATGTAGTGAAGCTATGCAGAGAGAAAATTAGGAGAACCAATGCGCAGCTAGGCCTAAACCTAGCTACAGCTGTTAAGGATAATAAAAAATGTTTCTATAAATTCATTAACAACAAAAGGAGAATTAGGGAAAATCTCCATCCTTTATTGGATGCAGAGGGAAACACAGTGACAAAGGATGAGGAAAAGGCTGAGGTGCTCAATGCCTACTTTGCCTCAGACTTTAGCAGTGGAACTAGCTGTTCCCTGGACACTCAGCCTCATGAGCTAGGAGACAGGGAGGGGAAGCAGAATGAGGTCATCACAATTAAAGAGGAAGTGGTCAGTGGCCTGCTATGCCACTTAGATGCACACAAGAGTATGGGACTGGATGGGTTACACCCAAGGGTGCTGAAAGAGTTGGCAGATGTGCTCACCAAGCCACTTTCTGTTATTTACCTGAAGTCCTGGCTAACTAGGGAGGTTCCAATGGACTGGAAGATAGCAAATGTAACACCCATCTACAAAAAGGGCGGAAAAGAAGATCCAGGAAACTATAGATCTGTCAGTCTGACCTTGGTACCAGGGAAGGTCATGGAGCAGATCATCTCGACTACCATGACATGCTGTATAGAAGATGACCAGGGGATCAGGCCCAGTTAGCATGGGTTTGTGAAAGGCAGGTCCTGCCTGACAAACCTGATCTCCTTCTATAACAAGATGACCCGATTGTTGGACGAGGGAAAGGCTGTGGGTATTGTCTGCCTAGAATTTTGAAAAGCCTTTAACACTGTTCCCCACAGAATTCTCTTGGAAAAACTGTCTGCTCGTGGCTTTGATTGGCATAAAATCTGCTGGATAAAGCACTGGCTGGCTGG